ATCAACCTCAATCCAGGATATCAGCAAAGTTCATTCAATTCTTAAAGTAGAAAACCACAAACACAACTGAGAAACCAACACAACGAATAGGGCAGATACCAGATGCTAAAAGAGCTTGTCAATATTGTGGGGAAATAAAACCTCCACATGCACAGACTATTCACAGACTTCTGGCTACTAAATTATCTATCATACAATAGATCACTTTTGGAAAATGTGTAGAAAAGGGGCACAGTTTCAGAATAGCAAGACATTAAAAAACCTACCTGCACAGACAGGTTAATGATGTAGAACTGTCTACCACAGTCGAAAAACCTCAAGTGCTTCTCAGGAAAGCTGGTTACCTGGACCTTGTATTATGGTAAGCCTCATGAATTTCAACTTAGCTACCAGTCGCTCCTATATTATCAGACAATGAGACATGGTTGTGGAAACTAGTTACAGCTGACAACAATGCAACTACATGGTCAGGAGGCATAGCACCTAAGATTAGTGTTATGCCACAAGTAACTTTAAATATAGGGATACTAAGTAATTGAAAATCTAAACACAATCAAGAATTCTCATTTGAGTAAGAAGGCATGTCTTGACCTTAATTTTCTTCATATGGCAAAAGGAACTGAAGTATGTGAATTTAAGGAACAGCTGGTCAAGGGATGCTGGGTCAAAGGACATCTGGTAGAAGATTTCACATAGCTTCCTAGACTCATGACAGAACCTAAACAGAATCCATCGAGATTAACTGTGGCAAACAATTTCATATGGTCAACAAGATGTGAATCTGTGACTGTATTAGATTGGCACAATTGTTTTCCATCGGTGCTACAACTGAAGAGCCATCAGCCTACGAAAGCCAGCAAGATTTGTGAGGAAAAAATACAATCAGATAGCCCATGAATAGCCTACTGCATTTCAACCTATTAACAAATTTATAATAGAGTACAGCACAGCTTGGCAAATTAAAGCTATTAACAGATAAAAATCTGATGTCAGATGCTGAAGTGATATGGAAGAGACAAGTTCAAGCAGAATATTTGACTTCCTTATCTGCCCAGGAAGAATCCCCAGTAATTATAACAGAGGTCATGCCCAGCCAGAAGCTATCTTCAAACAGTAGGACTAATGAAGTGCAAATGCTACTTTCACCAATAATGAATTTGCTGACAGTGATGTTGAGGTAAATGGTTTATTTGCTTCTACACAATTCTACAGATGGATTGAGAATAAAAGTCTACTGACATAGATTGAAGACGTAATGCATATAATTTCACGTAAGCCCACCACTGAGGAGGGATAACCAATGTTCAACCATTCAAAATGATGCACAAAAGCAACTGCCTATTTCAGCAGGGAAGCTGTCTGTCCCAAAATGAAATCCAAGAGACTAAAGATCCTCCAGTTTAACAGGACCTACATACCACAGACAGTCACAAAGAGAATCAAAGGCAATGAACATGAAAATAGCAATGTAGTCCAGGAGAATGGTGAATCCACAGATAGTCTGAATTTGTAAAGTCAGACTTTTGGGTCAAGATGCAGTAGTGGCAAATGTAATTAAATACATAGATATATAGCAATAATGAAGAAAACTGCTTGGGAATGTGGAGATGTTGCATCTGGGTCTGACAGGGTTAATACTGAGGAAAGCCATAAGCATTACCCACAATATAATGACATAAGGACTTGTGGACAGAACAACTTCTGATCTCAAAAAGAATGAGGTTTAACATCTGGTCTTTCTCAAAGTCTCTGCAGCAGTGTGTACATCATACCAATGTAACCTGTGAACAGTTGCTAACATACAATAACTTTTATATTGTTACTGATAAGAAATTCTTCCAGTTAGACTGGGAAGTGGCTTTCCTCTACCCTACCAGTCCAAGCAGGTCCTATGGTTTTCTACATCTAAGGGAATGCTGGCCGCACCTTCATCAATAACAACCATTCATATCGCACAGTGAGCTGCCTTGCTCATACAACACAAATGGCTAATGGGAAATCAAGTGCTAATATCTTCAGGGATAGTAGACAAGACCATTGAAGCTGAAAGTATACCAAAGAAATCAGGGCTATTTATAATCTTACTGCAGAAAAAAAACTGTTTCAACGAAAGATATGTTTAAACAGTCAAAAGTTTAGACCCCTGAAAGTGAAGAAACTTTGAAATCTCTGACCGACAATAAAAAACTGCAACTACAAAGGAATTTAATTTGTCTCATATAAATTTGCTTGCAGACCAAAAGCCTCAAGTGTCAAAGCAGAATTGAGCAGCAGAATTTCAGGCTAATGGACAAAGAAAGTGACACAATGCTTTAAATCAAACTGTTGAACTACAAGGATGGATTAGACTCCTTGAGCAGAAAATAACATTTTAAATGAAGAAACAGTGATTCTTGCTCAGAAGGAATTGGACAAACCTGAGTGAAATAATGAAAAACCTGAATGAATGTAAAAGTATGCAAAAATTGATTTTAACTATTTTTTAAGCGAAACTTAATCTCAAACGAGTCTCAGAATAGCTGAAAAAGATTTTTACTTGCCAAAAGAACAAGCTGCCTGCACCAAAGGAGAACTGTAACCCTGAGCTTACACATGAAAAAAATGACTATTCAGATAGTTGGCTAGTCACAACCTTTCTGAAAAAATGTCAACATTAAAAAATATATAAATTCTGAAAGGGAGTAAAGATCACAAGGTAAAATTTGCTAGGGAGATCTAAAGATGAAATTAATACATCAACTCCCTGATGAAGATGTAAAATCTGTTTTGAAAGAAGAATGAAAGGAAATACTTAATCTAGAATGTAAAAAACATCATGGCAGAGAATTTCTTTGTTGTCCACAATTTATACCTGCTAGTATTCAATAATCAGGAGGTCTAACAAAAATCAGCAGTGCTGTTCTTCACAAGTTAACTGAACCTGACCAAAGATACAAGAGTCTAGTTAAGGAACTGGAAGCAATGTGAACTTTTTCATCATACAAAAAGAGGGCCATTACATTGCATTTCAGAGGGCAAAGCTACCAGCAAAAAAAAAAATTTTCAATCATATTCCAGGATGAACTGTATGAGTGGCAATGAAGGAAACTTTAAATCCTGACTGTTACATGTATTTGGTATGATATGAGTTCAAACATCATGATGCTATCCATACAGACTGTTAGATGGAAAACGTGACAGCAGGGTTGAAGAGAAATGAGAAGTGGGAAGATTATTCTTTGGCAAACGTATGCAGTACGTTAGATGTTAGTGTATTGTGATTATTGTTTGCTGTATTTTCGGTAGTGTTTATGAAAACTTATTAGTACATTGCTAACTTTTCATTCTTTAGAGTCAAACTGTTACAATGAAGTTTATGCTTGTTTTGTTTGGGACTGTATCTTTTTAATTTAAGGAGTTAATGGGCTGTAGCACTGCTTAAAACTGGGAAATGCTCCAGAACTTGTACTTATTATTCTTTCATATGGGAAAGCATCTGGCTGGGAATTGGAATGATTCACTGGATAGCTCTCCTGTCTCTCAGCCGGAAGACAAGTTGAAGTTCCATTGCAACTTTGTTGGCTATTAAAGAACACTGTCACTTGTGCAGGCAAATTGATATGTATTGGTGCTCAGCAGATAAATGGGAAAGGCTAAAAGTAGGAAACACATACTAAGGTGATCAACCAGAGAACTGTTTCTCTTGCCAGAGACGTTGCCAGATGAGCTCAATTTCTCCAGGACTTTCTGTTTGGGTTTTAGACTTCCAGCATCCACTGTACTTTGGTTTTATTTGAGTAACCAACCAGAATTGTGGTGGTCAAAAGTGTGAAATCCAAAACAGAAACCAAGTTATGGAAAACAAACTAGACTCCATGGTTGTTTATAGTACAGATATATCTAAACAATCTTGACCTGTGCTTACTTTTTGCATCCACATTGGAAGAAAGATTAATTACTTATCTACTTTTATTGTTTCAACCATGCTAGAATATCATTTTGTAAAGTTTCATTCATGCATGGAATATTGGTATCACTGCCTGGGCCAACATTTATCACCCATCCTTAGCTTGCCCTTGAGAAGACAGTGGTGAGCTGCCTTCTTGGAAGAGAGAACCAAGACTTTGACTTGGGACTTTGATCCAGCAACAATGAAAGAACAGCGATATATTTTCAACTTAGGGTGGTGAGTAGCTTGGAGGGCAACTTGCTAATAGTAGTGTTCCCATATATTTGCGGCCCTTGTCATTCCTGGTAGAAACGGTTGTGGGTTTTGAAGATAACGTCGAAGGAAACGTGATGAATTCCTGCAGTGTATCATGGAGACACTACTAAATGTCAATGGTGGAGGGACTGAATGTTTACAGATATAGTGCCAATTGAGTGGGCTACTTTGTCCTGGATGGTGTCAAGCTTCTTGAGAGCCATTGGATCAGCACTGTTCCAGGCAAGTGGGGAGTATTCCATCACACAATTGACCTGTAAATGATGGACAGGCTTTTGGGAGTCAGGAGGTGAGTACTTACTGCAAGACTCTTAGCCTCTGAGTTGCTCTCGTACTGCAGTATGCTAAAGACAAAAAGCATCCCAAGTTCAAATAGCAAAATAGATCAGAAAACTTTCCCAGTAATGTAAACTATTGTATATAGACAGAATTAAACAGAGACAGAATGTAGCATGCAGAGTGGACATGAAGAGAGAGAGGTTTGCATGTAGTTTCCTATATGACTTAATATCACCTTCTGATGTTTTGCTAAGAATATGAAGTACCAACATTCTTGAGAGAGAGATTATCACAGGTGGAATGAATGGAAGAAAATGTAAAAGTTTATCTAGCGCGAATGTTGTAGCCTAGTCTAGAATCTAGTAACCTAGGCTTCTTTTAGTTTTATATTTCTCATTTGTTGATTTTGTAAAACATCTAATGATCTTACAACAAGAAAACATCTGAGGAAAGAAGTGTGGTAAATAATGCAAAACAAGGTTATCAGAATTTTTTAAATAAAAAAACATATACTCACTATTTAGGTCATTTTCAAATATAAGTTTATCATTACACTCCTGTTCATTGGTACATCCACAGACGTACATCCTTCCTTTCCCTGTGGGCTGTTCAGTCATGATACAAACTGTTGTATTGTAAGTTTTGATTATTATGTCTTCCACTGGTAAATGTGGATAATGACACATAGTTTGAACACTTGTGGATTCATTGTCCTTCTTCCTATGGAGAGTAGCAAAGGTTAATTGGAATGGCATGTTAAACAAAAATATAAATTTGAAAGTTCAGAAATATGATTAAAAGTTTCTAAATCATCAACTTATACAGTAATTTGTGCAAAGTGCAAAATGCAATTTTTGTTGGAATATGTTAATGTGGAAGATAATCATAAATAGAAAACAAGTAGTGCAAGAATTCGTGAAGGACTTCTGATTGGGATGATGTGGTGGGAAGTGCACTAGTGCTTAAATGTGTTTCAAATGGAAGAATATGGCACACCAGGTTATGGTGGTACACGTTTTAGAGCAACACAGTGGTTAGTACAGAGCCAAGGACCCAGGTTCAATTCCAGCTTTGGGTGACTGTCTGAGTGGAGTTTGCACATTCTCCCTGTGACTGTGTGGGTTTTCTCCGGTTGTTCCAGTTTCATCCCACAGTCCAAAGATGTGCAGTTTAGGTGGACTGGCCATGGTAAAATTGTAATTTATGTTAATTTAAATAAAGGCATTTAGTGCTGATAAACAACAAAACTATTGAGATTTTCAGAATAAAGTTGTGTTTACTAAGACAACTATAAACATATTTGCATCTAAAGAAATGAGAATTCACAATAAGGTTGTCACCTTCAGAAAACCCTTACAAAATGCAGGTTAAACACTAGATCTAATGCTACAATTAACACTTACCATATAGCAACACATATTTCCTCTGAACTTGCACAATAGGAATTCAATGTACAATTGCTGTAGCACACATTGTCCTCGCATATTGGGTTAGTATAGTCACACCACTTGCATAGGTTTGTCTCCAAGAAACTTGTAAGAACATGGGTATTCAATACTGTAACAGAAAGAAACAAGAATACAGAAAAAAAACAAAAATAGAAATTGCTGGAAAAGCTCAGCAGGTCTGGCAGTATCTGTATACAGAAAACAGAGTTAATAGTTTGAGTCCAGTGACCCTTCCTCAGAATACAGAAACTTGGATATGCCCATGAAGTGCAATGACATTCAGGGTTTTATATCAAGAGCTGGAAAATGAGAATAAACTGGATACTTCATTTCTCACTTGCACAAATACAAAGGGATAAATAACATTTCTTTCTGCTGTAAACTGTCTCAAAATAATTGCTGGGTGCTACAGAAATTAAATATTGCTAAAAGGAGACACAAAATTAAAGCATTTTTGTCTTATATTCAATCGCCCAAAGAATAAGTACCCACTTCTCCTGCTGTATAAATTGGTGTTCCTTTTTAAAACTTGGATTCTTGTGTCCTAGTTCTGATGAATGAAAAATGTAAAGCTTTGACTTTGTGTCCCTTTGTAGCAATGTTTGAATTTTCTAAGTTTCAAAATTTTTTAAGTCCTCTGAAACAAAAATCCACACATAATGTCTGAGCATTAGATTTTACTTTTAAACAAATCAAAACAAAATTTAGCTTATCGATAATGAAGTTGTTTTAAAGGCGCTGCAGCACTTTGTTGACTAATCTCAGTGGTATTTATTTAAGGATGGGCAATAAATGCTGGCCAGCCAGCAATGCCTACATCCCACAAAATGAGTAAATGAAAAAAAAGTTGTATGTAAACTTTCACAATTGCAATTCATAGATATGAATAGGAAATGTGAAATAAACTCTTAAAAAAATAAGATTAACAAAGCACTAAAGGTCAGATTAAAAACAAGACATCTCTAACATCAGCCCCCAAATAATGGAGAACCAGAAGAGATGAGGGCAGAGAACTAATAGGAAAAGAATTCTGCAGACATTGTGAGTGAAATGACTGGGAAAAAAGAATAGAATACTTTTTGGAAATGTCCTGTTTGTGAAGTTAAAAGGAAATGCATTTGTGCTGTAGTGAATGGAACAAAATAGATCTTGTTGACTACAAGATCCTTGCTTGGGGTTGTTAATCTGCGCCAATTAGAAAAGGCCTGGTTGATCAATATAAACAGGAGATTTCAAATCTTCTCATTTCTGGGGAATGACTCTGATCTAGCTGGCCACAGCCAGTGTATTGTGTACAAGTAAATAAAGGGTGACTTGGTGACCGGATACCGGCCTCTGTGCAGTTATTTCAGTGGTGATGGGAGAAAACAGTACATGCCTGAAGAACATTCATTTAAACAGTCATCTTGGAGTTTGGGTAAGCATTTCTGGCATCATGCCTTTATTTGGGAAGCTTGACTTGTTTGATCCTTCTGTCGGTGACTGGGCCCAGTATGTGGAATGAATGCAATATTGTTTCCAGGCACATAATATTGGGGCAGATGAAAAGCAACGACTGAAAAGCAACAACTGCTGGCTGCTTGCAGACCCACAGCATTTTCAGTTATGAAGGGCTTAGCTTTCTCAGAGGAAGCAGACACTAAAACATTCCAAGAGTTGACAGAGTTGTTTACGGAATACTATGACACCAACCTCCTCTAATTCTGTGACACTATGGGTTTTATTCGGCTGCTAAATAACTGGGGAAATCTGTATCAGGATTTCTAACGAAGTTGAGATGACTGGCAAAGACATGTGATTTTGGGTTAACTCTGAATGAGATGCTGAAAGACCATTTGGTATGCAGAACTACGCAGAAGCGCCTACTAGCTGAAGCCCAACTGGATTCCAAACAGGCACTGCAACTGGCTTTGTCATCAGAAAATGCGGAAAGTGGAGCATGGGAGCTACAGGGTATCCCAATGGAAGTGGACTCCTTCACCTGTCACCCTTGAGTATAGGCAATGGCAGAGCCTCATGCAGAGCATATCCTGAGCAGAGGGACCCTAGGCCAGCCCACAGCAGAATCCAACAACAAAGCTGAGCCTCTGCCAAGTGGCTAAACAGCTCTTCAGGATCTGGGCCGGCAAACTATCATAGGTGCTGCCGGTATGTGGACTCGAGACAACAAAGGAGTCCTACAAGGCCTGACTTGAGCAAGAAAACGCTGTAGACCGGTATCCAGAAGAACACTCACCCTTGATACTTCCCCTACATGTGGGTTGGAGCAATTAAATTTATTAGCGACATCCAAAGCAGAAATGATTAAAATTAATGTTTGGTTAAATAGTCACCCAGTTACCATGGAGGTCGATATTGTCGCAGCTGTATCTGTTGTTGCAGAATCTGTCTTTAACAAGATTTGCTGAGGACTCCATACCTTAAATTTGCACAAGACCTCAGCCAGACTTAGAACATACACTGGGGAACCATTGCAGATTAAGGGTATGACTTCGGTTACGATCTCCTATGAGAAGCAGTTGGTGCAGTTACCACTGTTGGTAGTAAAAGGCTCAGGCCCAAGCCAATCCCAGTAAGGGATTGAAGGGATAAAGCAGGAAATTGAAATTTATGATTTTCAGATCAGCCTTGCTCTCTTTGAATAGTGCAGCAGACTTGATGGGTTGAATGGCCTACTTCTGCTATTGCATTTTATGGTCTTGCAAAAAGATTCACCTTGATTGGCTCAACATTTTTCGATTAGAAAATGGCTGCCTCAGTGAATTCCTAGTGAAATACCCAGGAGTATTTCAGGAAGAATTTGGGATTATCGAAGGGGCCAAACATGTTGACCAGGAAGCAACTCTGAGAATTGGCAAGGCCTGCCCAGTGCCATTTGCCTTGCAGGCAAAAGTAGAGGCAGAAATCAGGAGGCTGGAGAGCAAAGGAATCATCAAACAAGTGCAGTTTGTGGAAAGGCAGCACTGGTTGTACTGGTGATGGCTCAATTCACATCTGTGGGGATTTTGAGCAAACGGCAAACTGTTTCTCACAGCTGGATAAATACCCAATCCCTTGCATAGAGGACTTGTAAGCAAAGTTGGCCGAGGGCTGTCCTTTACGAAGCTTGTCATGAGCTACGCCTACTGCAATCGTGACTGGATGAAGAGTCCCAGAAGTATGCTACAATTAATACCCACAGGAGATTATGCCTATATACAAGATTGCCATTTGGGGTATCATCTACCTGAGCCTTTTTCCAGAGGATCATGGAGAATATTTTACAAAGGCTACCCCAGGGTTATCAATTATCTGGATGATGTGCTAATAACAGGCAATAATAATAAAGAGCACTTGGAGAGCTTGGACACAGTGCTTAAATGTTTCTTCTAGGCAGACGTACACCTTAGAAGGGAAAATATTGTGTTCCAGGCACCCAAAGTGACGTACTTGCGTTACAGAGTCAACAAAACTGGGTTACATCCATTGGAAGATAAAGTGAGGGCAATCAAAGGTGCTCTGGCTCCCATGTCTGTACCAGAGCTTAGGTCTTTCCTTGGGTTCATGAATTATTACGGAAAATTCATATGTAACCTGGCCTCCATCTTGGCACCCTTACACCTGCTGTTGAAAAAGGGTCAGCCTTGGAAATGGTTGCATAGCCAAGAAGTAGCCTTTAGGGAAGTGAAAAGGCAGCTATTGTTATCTATTGTTATCTAAGGTGTTGGCCCACTACGATCTGAAGTGAGAGATAGTGCTGACATGTGATGCCTCCCAGAATGGTATTGGGGTAATGTTGGCTCACCGGTGACCCATGGAAAGGAATGCCTGATAGTGTATGCTTCCCAGACTTTGGCTGATGCTGAACGCAAATCTACCCAGATAGAGAAGGAAGATTTGGAAGTCAGCTGGTGGTAATGGGGGAAACAGAAGGGCCATGGCAACCAGGATTGAAACCTTTCTGGAGCCAACGAGACTAGATCCCCACAGAGGATGGCATGTTATTGTGGGGAGCAAGGGTGGTTGTCCCAAGTAAAGGTCACCACTAGATATTGGCTGAACACCACCAGGATCATTCAGGGGTTCCCAAGATGAAGATGCTAGCAACTAGCTATGTCTGGTGGCCCAGTTTAGATGCCGGTATAGCTGTATTGGTGGAGCAGTGCACAGAGTGCCAACAAGGATAAAAATTGCCACCAGCAGCAACCCCACATTTATGGGAATGGCCAGCTAAACCATGGACTCAGTTGCATGTCGGCTATGCCAGTCCTCTCATAGAACATAGAACGTAGAACATTACAGCGCAGTACAGGCCCTTCGGCCCTCGATGTTGCGCCGACCTGTGAAACCAATCTGAAGCCCATCTAACCTAAACAATTCCATTATCATCCATATGTTTATCCAATGACCATTTAAATGCCCTTAAAGTTGGCGAGTCTACTATTTTTGCAGGCAGCCACGCCCTTACTACTCTCTGAGTAAAGAACCTACCTCTGACATCTGTCCTATATCTATCACCCCTCAATTTAAAGCTATGTCCCCTCGTGCTAGCCATCACCATCCGAGGAAAAAGGCTCCCACTGTCCACCCTATCTAATCCTCTGATCATCTTGTATGTCTCTATCAAGTCACCTCTTAACCTTCTTCTCTCTAACGAAAACAGCCTCAAGACCCTCAGCCTTTCCTCATAAGACCTTCCCTCCATACCAGGCAACATCCTGGTAAATCTCCTCTGCACCCTTTCCAATGTTTCCACATCCTTCCTATAATGCGGTGACCAGAACTGTACGCAATACTCCAAGTGCGGCCGCACCAGAGTTTTGTACAGCTGCAACATGACCTCATGGCTCCGAAACTCAATCCCTCTACCAATAAAACCTAACATACTGTACGCCTTCTTAACAACGCTATCAACCTGGGTGGCAACTTTCAGTGATCTATGCACATGGACACCGAGATCTTTCTGCTCATCCACACTACCAAGAATCTTACCATTAGCCCAGTACTCTGTATTCCTGTTACTCCTTCCAAAGTGAATCACCTCACACTTTTCCGCATTAAACTCCATTTGCCACCTCTCAGCCCAGCTCTGCAGCTTATCTATGTCCATCTGTAACCTGCAACATCCTT